TCTATGCAGTGCTTCGGCGATGGCCTCCCAGCTGGCGCTGTTGAACGCATTCTTGACGTCGATCGTTATGACGGCGCAATATCGATCTCCTCTCCGCTTCTGTTTGGACGCCTTTTCAGCTCTCTCGACCACTGTCCGAATTGCATCCACCGTCGATCTCCCTTTCCGGAATCCGAACTGCCTCTCCGACAATCCGTGCTCACTCTCCGTGTATTTCGTCAGCCTGTTTAGGATGATCCTCTCCAAGAGTTTTCCGAGTGTATCCAGCAGGCATATAGGCCTGTATGATGCTGGATCCCCCGGCGGTTTTCCTGGTTTCGGCAGTAACACTAGCTTCTGTATCTTCCACCTGTCAGGGAAGTGACCCTCGTTCAGGCATTTCTGCAGCACCATCCTGAACATGTCCGGGGATGACTGGATCGCCGCTTTCAACGCTACGTTGGGGATTCCATCCGGACCGGGAGCTTTCTTCACCTTCAATCCTTTCGCCACTATTACGAGCTCCTCGTTGGTGATTTCGACGTTATCTCCCTCTCTTTCTCCGTACGGTGTAGGTGGCCAGGTTGTTGGGTCGTGCTTCGGGAAAAGTCCTTCCGCGATGACTTTCAGCTTCTCTGGGCACATTTCAGCGGGCATCGTTGGACCTCTGATCTTCACCATCACGACTCGGTATGCGTCGCCCCAGGGGTTGGCATCAGCGTCTTGACACAGCTCCTTAAAACAGTTCGACTTGCTCTGCTTAATCACTCGTTTAAAAGCGGCCCTGGCCGCTCGAAACACTTCTCTTCGTTCCTCTCTGTCTGCTTCCGTTCTTGCTCTCTGAACACGTCTTCTGGCTCTGAGACAACTAGCGCGGAGAGTACTAAGTGCCTCGTTCCACCAGTAGACTGGACGCCGTCTGTTATTTGGCTCCAGTTTCCTCGGCATGGTCGTGTCACATGCTCTCACTAACGTTTCTGTCAGCTCGTCCGCATTTAGATCTACGGGACTCCCGTCCACACGAAGTGCCTCAACGAACAAATCCTTGTCGAAAGCTTTCGTCTTCCACTTTCGGTCACAAGTTCTCGTCCTCCGTACTGCCACAGTATTCCGTTGACCGATGCCATATCGTATCGCCTGATGGTCGCTATGGGTATATCCTTCGCACACTCTCCAATCCATGTTTGCCATCAGCGACGGACTGCAGAAAGTAACGTCGATAATGGATTCTCGGCCATCTCTGCGAAAAGTGCTGCTGGTGCCTTTATTGGCCAGCATAACTTCCAGTTTTGCCAGAGCTTCCAGCAGACTGTGCCCTCTTGCATTGGAACACCTGCTTCCCCACTCCACTGCCCAAGCATTGAAGTCTCCTCCGATGACTACCGGTCGTCGTCCGACCAGCTCTTCGGTAAGTCCATCAAGCATCTCGTAGAACTTCTCAATCGTCCATCTGGGGGGTGCGTAACAACTACACATGAAGATTCCGTTGATTTTGGCGATGACGAAGCCTTCGTATGAGCTCGCAACCACTTTTTGAATGGGGTATCTGCCCATAACTTGTATAGCTGCCATCCCAGCTCTATCCGCAACCCAGTTACCGTTATCGGGAGGGACTCGATACGGTTCCGCAATGATTGCAACGTCGCACTTTGTTTCTGTTGTCGACTGCCACAACAGTTGCTGAGCAATGTCGCAATGATTGAGGTTTATTTGGGTTACCTCCATTACTGTTGGCCTGCCATCGCCTTTTTGTATGCTAGGCATTTGAAGCCTCCCGTCGTATGATCGTTACCGTCCTCTTTTTTGCAGAGCATACACCTCGGATGCTTCGTGCAGCCTCTTGCAATATGGCCTTTCTCTCCGCATTTCCTGCACAGATCAGATCTGTCAGGGCCATTGCAGTTCCTCGCCTGGTGACCGAATCCCATGCACTTGAAGCATCGCTCCAATTGCTTGGTAACCCGAGGAGTGGCTTTCAGCGAGCACAATGACCAGCCAACCTTGACCTTGCCCGTCTCCAACAGCTTATTCGCTGCAGCTGTCGAAAGCCGTATAACCGCCGTTTGCATGCCGCCGTACGCCTTCCTCATGCGGATTGACATCGGGACATCTCCCAGATCGCAGTGCACTCTCAACGCACTTCTTAGCTCCTCTTCTGTGGTGATCTCGTCCAGGTCCCTGCACTCGACCACTGTCTCCTGGGATAGAGCTCTTACGCTCGCCCCTTCGCCAAGAGACTTTTCGACGAGCTCCTTGAAGGCTGAGCTCTTGATAGCAGGATCCTTCTTCAGCTCAAAGAGGATCTCGCCTTTCTGGGTTCGCCTGGTTTTCACCACGTTCTCTCCTAGTTGCTTCAACTCCGGATCCTCTCGTACCTTCCGGAGGAGTGCTGCATACGACGTTTTGTCCTTAGCTTCGACGATCAGAGCATCGCCCTTACTTCGCTCCCGACGAGTCCTGGGTATCACCTTCTTCTGTTCAGCTTTCTTCTTCATGTCTTTTTCCTTCCGTTTTTTCCACTTCTCCTTTGGCTTCTCGACGGTACGCCAGCCTTCCTCCTTGTTGTCTTCTTTGTCGTTCTTGACTTTTTTCAACTCCTCTTCCTCTCCTGGAGTTTCCCTTTTCCTCTTCTCCGAGCGTGGATTTCGAGGTCCCTTTGGCGTCTCCTGTATTTCAGCTGCTGCTTTCTCCTTGGCCTCGATCAGTGCCCTTTCGGCAGTTACGGACCTCGTCCTCAGCGCATCCTGTTCACGTTCGGCAGCAATAATGGCGGATTTGATGCCCGTCACCATTTCCTTTATTGCCTTGTGGACGTTGCTCTTATCCTTGATGAAGTCATGGAGTTCATTGATCCTCCTCCTGACCTCCATCAATTTGGTCTTCCCAAGCTGCAATCCTTCTTGGGGTGTGCTACTGCTGGATTTCGGTGTGAACACCTGGCTTAGCATAAGACCTAGCTCTCCTTGGTGTCCTTGCTGCTCACCTTGGGGCTTACTGCTGCTGTTGGAACTCGCTGTTGCCTCCAGGTTCAACACTGGTGATCTCTGCAATATCCCGCTCCTTGCGAACACGTTCGCTCCTCCGTTTTCAATTTCTGGCGTCTTGCCGTCGTCCTTCATATTTTTTTGGGTTTTCTCATTTTCTTCTTTTTTGTTTTTTTCTCCGTTTTTCTCCATTCTGTTGTGTGTGTGTGTGTGTGTGTGTGTGTGTGTGTGTGTGTGTGTGTGTGTGTGTGTGTGTGTGTGTGTGTGTGTGTGTGTGTGTGTGTGTGTGTGTGTGTGTGTGTGTGTGTGTGTGTGTGTGTGTGTGTGTGTGTGTGTGTGTGTGTGTGTGTGTGTGTGTTTGTGTGCGTGTCTGTGTGTGTGTGTGTGTGCGTGTGTGTGTGTGTGTGTGTGTGTCTGTGTGTGTGTGTGTGTGTGTGTGTGTGTGTGTTGGTTTGTGTGTGTGTGTGTGTGTATGTGTGTGTGTATGTAACGAAATGAATGCGCTCACGTTTCTCAGCAACCGCTCAACCGATTTGGACAAACTCGGCGCCACATGATAGGTCTTGGGGTCCAATTGAACGCTATTGACCGGTTTTGGAATCGGTGAACCGGTTCCGGAGATATGGCCGGAATAAGATCGGGTGAATATGGGCCTTCACGCTGGATTTAACGGAAAACGTATCAAAACCATCATGCGACACATCAAATTACTACAGAATTCAAAAATAAGATCAATGCAAGTCGTGTTAAGTGTTCCAGACCACATTGGACACACTTGGACATGTTCCGGCTACCCCGGGGAAGTTGCTTGAATATGAATTGAATTAAAACCCATTAAATCACATTAAAATACGATGATAAGGTGATTGGTAGCCTCACCAAATAGACTACACCCGGATATATTCCGGGTACCCCCAGGCAGTGGCGTAGCGTCACTGGATGACACGGGGGTGGGGGGCTTGGTCACTGATAATGACAATAAAATAAATAAACTTGAATAAGTAAGAAGGGTCTGATCACACCATAGGTGGATAAATTCGGGTTTTTAGTTGTACATTTTGTTCTTTAGATCGCTTCGCATGTCTACCTGCGACATGTTTCACATCAACTGGAACAAAATTTGAAGCTCTTGAACACAAAGTTGTAAAACTATAACAAATCCCTAAAGTTTGCGATGAGTATGCAGTTTTCGTCTTATGATATAGCTTTTACACCTTCTTTGGTAACTTCGCTCGTCAGTTCCTCCCCTAAAAGCGCTGTAATATTCTGGTGAAAACATTCCACACAACCGACATAACACGTTGCTTTCCCCCAATCGCTCGTGTCGTACATGTACTTATTAAAGTAAAAAGGTGAAAAGGAACATATCCTTTCCCCTGCCATCGTAACACATGGGTCACACATTGTCAACATCCTCAACCTTAGAACGCTCTCGGAAGGTCTAAGAATACATACACTTAACATCTGAACTTGAACTTTTGAAATCAGTCCAACCCTATTAGACTATTATTTTTTCTTCCCCTACTCAGGCAGCCCAGTTGGCTCAATTCCGATTCATTTAGATCTCGAAGGAGCCAAAAGTGAAAGTATCCATGTCTAAGTGTGGAACATGTGTGTTTGTGTGGATGAGGTGTTTGTTTGCTTTCATTCAGGATCATTTTGTCAAGCTCCTTGCTTCCTATTTTCCTTCGGTGTCACGTAACGCCGATCTAATCAGCAAAACGTGATATGAGAAAATTATGATGTTACTGTGTTTTCAACGGAGACACAGAAAACGAACGGGACAAATGAGATTGGCTACATTCTGGGATAGGGTTGAAAAGAAGATACCCTTACTATTTGTTTGATAATGCAAATTGGAGACGATTTCCAGCAAGAACACGTGTAAAAGTTTTCAAAATCAGCATACCACCTGAGAAACTGGAGAAATTTTCGTAATGATCATAATAGCATAGATAGCTTATGAGAAAATTTGATAAGCCAATTTTCAGATGGGAGCATCTCTTTTTCCTTTTTGCATAATTAAATTATCATTACCTTGAGGCACTATATCACCCTTCTCTCGAGTCCAGTAATTGATTGACTTTGGATATGCCTCTGATTGGCATTCAAGAGTCATACGCTGTCCTTCTACAGCGCCAACCAGTTGATTCTGCACCGACATCATGGGAGCAACTGTGAACGAAAATAGATTTTCTTTATGCGTCCATAACTCACATGAAAATTTTCATTGGACTCAAAAACTTACAGTGAACAATTAGCATGACTCTCTTGCTAACGGACGGCGGGACTCCATTCGAGGCTATGCATAAATAGGCACCCATGTGCAACCTGTTGACCCTTGGTATGCTCAATGTTGGTCCTTCAACGGATTGTACTATAGGCGAGATAAAAGGGAATAAAGCAAACGTTCAACAATCGGAATAAAACAGTAAGCAGAATTCTAAAATTTATGTAGGTTAGATGTATCAGTTATGGCTGTACGTTTCTATTATGAAGTGTTCCAATTATGGCCTATGTGAATCCCAAACAAAACAAAGAAGGTGGTGAAAAATAAACCCGTTGAATTATTGACCTCATCGCTGCATGCCCGGACAGACCAAGCTGCTGCAATTGTGCTTTGTATTCTTCGGTGGTAATGGTTTGATAACTCGAATAGAACATATTGTAAATATACCATAAAACTTACTATTCCAGTAACATAGAAAACAGTAAAACAGTAAATTCTAATGTTTAATTGTCCAATACATATAAAATAAAACATATGATTATCGACCATAACATTTATGGTAAATTTATGTTATATACAAAAATCAATAGGTTGTTAGGTACCTTCACTATACAAAAAAATCTTCGAATGTTATGTTTTTCTATTGTATGATTTTTGTACTGGAGAAATATTTCATCGATTTATTTCAAACCCAAAAATAAAATTTAGTGTGTGCTGTCATCTGCAAGTTACCACTGAAAGTACACTACTACTGCTTGTGCCATCTACAATGCCTCTGCAAGTGCCATTTTCTGGCCACACGCTCACTGGTAGAGGATTTGTGTATAGCTGTCATGACCTTTTTTACTTTTTGCATATTGGGATTTGCACCAAGGAACTTTTAAGTTCATTTTATTGTATTATCCTATTATCTCTGCCACTAATTCACCTGTACTTATTAGTAGGGGATAAATTAGATGCGGAGAGATGATACATACACGCGGCCATGCATTTGGGCCTGAAAATCAACAATTTTCAAGTGTTTATTGTTTCTGTATTTTGTTTGTATTGTTTTTATTGTACTCTTTTATATTGTTTACAATGAGTTATAATAGCCATGCAACTTATTGTATATTTATTGTACGAGTTATGTTTCTTACTCGATTACTTTGAATGAATAAGTCGAAGTAATATTTTTTGTAATAAAATGTGCCATTTTTAAAAATTTCACATTATTATAAATATAAAATTAAATTTATTGTTAACCATAAAGTTTATACTATGCTTCCAATATAACCCATAAACTGTATCATATATTTTTATGAGGGAAGTAATCATCATTTCTCACGGTAGTGTGGTGTGTTCTTGAAACAATAGATAATACAAACACGTTCGATAATGAAGGGATAACGCTTAGCTCTTGGCTGATTGGAGTAAATGATCAGTGTGCCAGCAAAGCAAAATGGAAATTATATGGAAGAAAATGTAATCGTACCGAATTATCGTACAGTTTTTGATTTGGCTACACGCAAACCAAACATCTATTACAATGAATGTTAGTTCCGTTTCCTATTATCCTCTGTTCATGAACATCGCAACGAATGTTAGGAATTGACCATGCAGGCGATGTAATGGTTTTTCGTCTTTTTTATTTCGTGTTCTATCTACGCTTTCGACTATACCAGTAAGCTTGTAGAACGACGCACATTGTAGAACATTGTAGAACGACGCACACACTTGCCTCGAATCTCTCCAGCAGAAAAAGCATACGAAGTCGAGTGTGCGAGAAAATAAGCGCTTCATCTTTGCTTTTACTCCCAACCGGTGGATGTAAGATTCGCTTACAATTATGTGGGATTCATCATCAGAGGATGTAAGTGGAGACCGCAAGAGAATTGGAGACCGAAAAATGTGGAGTGTATTAGTGAGTGAAATGAATTATGTCGTAAAAAATTGGAAAAAGGTTGCCGACTGGGACTCGAACCACGAACGTTGTGATTATCAGACCTGTGCTTTCTCCCCTGCTCACTCCATGCTTCTGAATATGGATAGCCTAAAAGCAAACAAGAAGCGCTTATTTCCTCTCACACTTGACTTCGTATGCTTTTTCTGCTGGAGAGATTCGAGGCAAGTGTGTGCGTCGTTCTGCCATGTTATACATAAAAATCAAGGCAAATGCTTGCTTGTGTAGATGAAAGCACAGACAGAACACGAAATAAAAAAGGCAAAAAACCATTACATCGCCTGCAAGGTCAACTTCTAACATTCGCTGCGATGTTCATGAACAGAGGATGATAGGAAATGGAACTAACATTCATTGTAATAAATTTTTGGTTTGCGTGTAGGCTATCCATTTTCAGAAGCATGGAAAAAGCAGTGGAGAAAGCACAGGTCTGATAATCGCAACGTTCGCGGTTCGAGTCCAGCCGGCAATTCCAATTTTTTTTTCAATATAACTAATTTACCTCACTAATAAACTCTTAATTTTTCGATCTCCAATTTTCTTGCATTGGACCGCAGCTAGGTATATCGCATCCTCGGTTCATGCGGTCTCCACTAACATCCTCTGATGATGAATCCCACATGATTGTAAGTGAATCTTACATCCCCCGGTTGGGTGTAGAGGAAAATATGCGTGGAAGCTTCGGCAATGTGCTCTCAGGCAATATATATATGTGATCGTGATGTATTGATTTGGTGAGTACGTTCCAGTTGAAAATGTTCTTATACATCACACATATTTCATTGATATTGAATTTAAACTGGTTCCACGTGGTTGCCTCGATCGCGAGTGGTCTGTTGCTCGGATTATACGGTTGAGTACGTGTGATACGATTGTAATCGAACTTGTAGGTTTGGCTCTTATCCGATTGAATTATGATGTCATAGCTCACCTAAGGCGAGAGTTAATTACACTTTAAACCCATTTGTGCGAAGTTTTGTGGCGTACATCATGTTGCGTAATCTCTGTAGAGCCTGAGTAAGGTCGCATCGGTGGTTATGATCCGGAAGAATGACACGTAGTTGTGGCGGTTCAGCCAAGGAGAAAACACGTTTAGAAACACAATAAAGTTCGTTCGAGATCGACTTATAGATGTGCAATATGTGTACTGCAATGCTAGATATTGATCGATAATCATGGTTGATCCTTCCGAGGAGATTTTTTTTTGTGTATACCTTCATTATTATGGTTTTCTTAATTTCATTTATTTTGTGACCGTCGTCCACTGTTCATTCACTTCAATCAGTCAAGAGCCGAGCTCAAACATTGCATGATCGAACGTGTTTGTTTTATCTCTTTCTGTGAACAAAGTTGTTGCTCATCGCAAAAACCAAACAATAAAACAACACGATCGAGGTCATACCGGAACAAAATGAAATTCAAGAGCACGCCAAACACCAATGTATCAGCAAGGAGAGAACAAACCATTTGATTGATTAATCGATTAAGTTTTGTTTAATTGCTTTCGAAACTCTATTTATTGACTGGAAATTTTTATTTATTTTTAAATTATAAACTAAAGGTCCTGCTGATGATCCCAACCCCTGAATCGAAACGATGACGATGATTAAACTGTAATTTTTCTTCAACACGCAAAAACCGAAACAAAGTTATCGATTTGCAAAAACTTATTAAATTAAATTAAATTACCGTGCACGGGATACTAAACTAATCAATTGCAATCAGTGATGCACAGCCAAAAATCTTCTATAGATATTTAAAAGATAAGTAAAAAAAAAATAATGTTTTGACTAAAAATTATATATTTTTACAGCAAATTTGGTTCATTGTACTTCAAGAAATAACAGGTTGAACAATCGTAGTCTAATATGAAACGATTTACTAAAATAAATCGATCTTCAAATTATGTATACAATTTCAGCACTTTGAACTTTAATGGAGATACACAAAAACCACGGTGTATCATTTTACATGGCCTTGGCATCGTACCGAGATCTCGATAGCTACGATGAATAACGTTTCAATTTCAAGAAGCGGCATTTCTTGATCAACGTGGGAATTAGGCCGAACGACAACAATCGTAAATAAATGCAAATTTTTCACAAACTAAAGGCTAATACAATGAATCAGATTTGAACTAAACTATCCACTGAAAAAGAGGTATTGTCTATTTGAACAACTTTGTAGAAGACTGAATCGTTCTATCTAGTATAGTTCAAGAACTACAGTACGCAACGCAACTGCTTGTGTAACTTGTTTGCACCATGGAACAACAAAGTTACCCGAGCAGTCGCGCTGGTGTACTGAGTACTCTTTCACTATTTAAAGATTTAGTTTTCAGCTATTTTTTCAAAATATTTCTTCGGTAAATCTTGGGATAACACCCCGACCAATTTTAATCGGATTTTTTGAGACTTTTTCCAAAAAGCTGCACTAGTACGATTGCTGGAAAGTTAATGACTTTTCACTCAGTTCATGAAACTTAGGTTTAATTCAAGCAAATAGAGTATAGAGCAGGATCAGAGTTCACTGAAGATACACACAAACATTTGAATTCACACCAATGAGTTTATTAATTGAAATTTCGTGTTTCTCCTTTCGTTTTTGTGGTGAACAAATCAGAACCGCTTTTCGCCTAAATTCAAATCTACTGCGTATTACGGGTCTATAGGAATCTCAAACTCTTTTCTATAAGTTGCCTAAAAAAACATGTTTCTCAAGTGAATGCAGGGTTATTAACATATGAGCAATTTGACCATTAAATTTAGCATGTTAACCCTGCTGATGTTTACCTAAATTCATCTAAATCAGCTAGAAATATTATCAACCCAAAATGACAATCAACATCACGAGTGCTTGAACAATGTAATATTACACGAAAGCTTTATTATGTAGAGTAAATGATGGCTTCGGCACCTATTGACCGTTTTCGGCAACAAATATATAAAAGCTAATTGTGCTGTATTTTCTAAACCAAAACACTTCGCTGAATGTGTTTAAACGATTATTTTGTCTATCAGCTTCAATATGATTACATTTTCACGACTGAGAAAACCTATTTTTACTCAAATGAAAAACACGCAATACCAAATATGGTTGATTTCGAGTTGTCGATAATAGAACAGCTGGTTAACACGGAGTTCAAATGGAAAGGCTGCCGAAGAAAAAGAGGCTGTTGACAATAGTCCTACTCAACTTAGAAATT